ATTAATTAAGTTTATTGGTACATTTTGGGTATATATAATGATCATATTCATCATAGGGAATTTGTACCTGTACATGATATATCTGGATTCTTCATGTTATCCTGATTTTCTCACCCTCCCTTCAACACCTCTTCCCCTACACCTACATATGTAAAAAGGCTCAGTTTCCATTTTTCCTTCTTTTCTCATTTTATTTTTCTTTCCCATCCTTCCTTTACCATTTCCACATCCCTAGCTCCTCTTCATATTTGAACATTTTCTACCCATTTAAAACTATGTTTAGTATATTTTAGACCTTGTTCACACATTCAGTTTCTCACACCAGAGAAACAATATGTTATTTACACATGTGAGTCGAAATAATTTCACTTAAGAGTATGGTGTCCAGGTGCATCCATTTACCTAGAAATAGCTCAAGAGTATCCTTCTTTATGTCTGAGTAGTATCCATTGTATAAAACCCATACACATCGTCTACATCCTTTCATTGTTTGATGTGCATTTTGGTTGTTTTCAAGATTTAGCTATTACAAACTGCTCTGCTATGAACTGGGGTGTGCATGCATCACTGTTGTATGATGCTTTTGATACTTTTTGTAAGATATCAAGTAGGAGAATAGCTCAGTCCAATGGGACATCTGGTGCTAGTATTTTGAGAAATCTCCACACATTTCCACAGTGGTAGCACCAGTCTACACCCCCACTAACAGTGGAGAAGGTTTCTTTTTCTCCACAGCCCTGCCAGCATTTGTTATTGGTTGACTTCTTTATAATAGCCATTCTTTCTAAAGTGAAATGAAATCCCAGCATTGTTTTAATTTGCTTGATACTGCTAATGTGATATGTTACATTTATTGATTTACATATGTTATACCATCCATGATTCCCTGGGATGAATACTACTTGCTTATGGTATAGAATATTTGTGATGATTTGCTGTATTCTGTTTGCAGTATCATACTTAGGATTTTTTTTTCATCTATGTTCATTAAGGAGTTTGGCCTACAGTTCTCTTTTGTGGTTGGACACTTCTCTGTTTTTTATATCAGGTTAGTGCTTGCTTACAGGAATGAATTTCTGAGTATTGCTTCCCTTTCAATTTCAGTAGTTTCAGAAATAGAAGCATTAGATTTTCACTAAATTATTTGTACAATTCAGCAGTGAGTCCATTGGGACCTGGGCTTTCCTTTGTTGATAGGTTTGTGCTTGTATCTTCAATTTCATTGACTGATAAAGGTTTACTCATGATTTTTATGTCTTCTTGATTCAGCTTTAGTAATTCATATTTGTCTAATAATCTGTCAAGGTCTTTTGCAGTTTTCATCTTAATAAAATACAAGTTCCCAAACTACGTGCATATGATCTTCTGGATTTCTGTGGAATCTGTTGTGCTTTCATCCTTTTTATTTCCTAATTGCATGGATTTTAGTCTATTCTTTCCTCTTTTTTTGGATACGTTTGCATAAGGATTGGTCAATTTTATTTAATCTCTCAAAGAACCAACTCTTTGATTCATCATTTCCTTTTATTGTTTTCTTAGTGTCCATTGCACTTATTTCTGCTCTGTTCTTTATAACTTCCTCCCTCATATGAGCTTTGGGCGTGACTTGCTATTCTTTTTCTGGAAGCTTAAGGTGCAACACAAAGTTATATATGTGAGATTGCTCTGTTTTTCCGATATGGGTATTCACTGCTATCAGTTTAGCCCTTAGGACTGCTTTCATTGTGTCCCATAAGTTCAGGTGTGTTGTATTGGCATTGTCTTTTACTTGTAGAATCTGTTATTTCTTTAATTTCATCTATGATAAATTTTTTTGTTTGGAAGGATGTTATTTAATTTTCATGTATTTTTGGAGTTCTTTTGGTTTGTTTTGCCATTGATTTCCAATTTTATTGCACTATGGCTTCATAGTATGTATGGGATAACTTTTATACCTTTGCATTTACTTAAGCATGTTCTATGAGCTAGATCTTTCCATGTGCAGCTGAGAAGAATGTATATTCTCATGTTGTGAGTTAGAACACTCTGTAGACATCTGCTAAATCCATTTGTTCACAGATTTGGTTCAGTTCAGTATTTCATTGTTAATTTTTGATCTAGTTGATCTGTCTTTTTGTGACAGTGCTGTGTTGAGGTTCCCTATTACAATTGTATTAGGGCTTATTTAATTTTACATATCCAATTACATTTGTTTTGTATAATTGGATGTACTTTGTTTTGTTGCATATATATTTCTGATTTTTATCTCTTCCTGTTGTAGTGTTCCTTTACAAGTATGACCTTCTTTGTCTCTCTTAATCAGTCTTGGCTTTTAATCCAATTTTTCTGCAAAGAGCATAGCTACCCATGTTTTTCTCTAGTTTGCTCTCTCATGGTGTATTGTTTTCTCTTTTTTCACTTTTAGCCTATGAATATAGTTTTGGATTATATGTTTTTTTCATACAAAGCATAATGTTAATTCTTGTTTCTTCATCTATTTTGCCAGTCTGTTTCTTTTAATTTGTGAATTGAGACCATTACCATTAATGGTTATGACATATATGTTGGCTTATTCTTGTGATATTATTTTCCTGCTGCTGGTTACCTTTTCCCTCTTTGTCTAATTTCTTTCTTCCTTGGTGGATTCATTCTGTTCAGGTTTATGGATTTGTAATCCTTATTGTCACTTTCTAGAATGTCCTTCAGAAAATTTTGGAGTGCTCATTCTGTGTTCATGAATTTCCTCAGGTTTTCTTAGTCATGGAAGTATCTTATTTCTTCATCATTCTTGAAAGATTCTTTTGTTGGGTACATCAGTCTAGGTTGGAGCTTGTCTTCTTTTAGATATTTAAGTACTTCACTCCAAGCTTTCCTTGAGTTGAGGGTGTGTGTTGAGAAGTCTACTGTGATTCTGATGGGCTTTCTTTTCATAGATGATTTGTTTTTTAACAGATTTTAATTTTCTGTTCTTGTGCTGAATTTCTGAGATCTTGAGTATTATGCACTTTAGTGTAGACTTTTCTTTTGATTATGGGCAATTGGAGTTCTATATGCCTTACTTACCTGTCTGTCAGGTTTTTGCCTGCCTAGGAAATTTTCAGCCATGATTTCTTTTAACAGGTGATTTAATGTCATTTTTGCTTTCTCCTGATTTTTTTCACTGACTCCAATCAATCTTATGTTATTTTTCTTTGCAACATCTTGAAGCTCCTGGATTGATTTCTTATGGTTCCCTGTCACTTTCAAGAAATCTGACTTTTATGTTCACTAACTAGAATCCTATCTTCCATATCAGAGAGTTTGTCCTCACATTGGCTCATTCTACTCCATATACTTTCAATGGAATTTTTATTTTACTGCATATCTGTTTGAAACTGTTTCATGGGTTCCATTTGTTTCCAATGAGTGTTCTTGTTTTCTATCATTTTTCTAAGGTCCCTTATTTTTTGGTCTTTATCTGCTCTAGAGTAGTAAGCATGTCTTTCATTATGGTCATTATCTCTGTAGTTATCCAAGAAATTATTTCTCATTTGATGTTTCTAGAGCTTCATTCATCTGATTTGTTATTCACACTTTTACCACTTTAGAGATTCCAGTTGGGTGGCTTTCAGATTGTTCCACCTCTTTTCTCTCTGGGTTTGCTGTTGGAGATAAGGAAATCTCAGTTTGCATCTGGTTTAAGTGTCTTCTCATTTTATAGTATTATCCTTTAATTGCTGGGTTGGTGGTTATAAACAGCCTATGACAAGTGGGTTTTTGCTAGTATTTAAAACTCTTAGGAAGTGATTACTCAGATGTGTCTTCTAGGCATAGCTAACTTTTGGGTTTTGAGTCTGTTGCAAAATCTTCCCTCTTCAGTTTTTTGGGAATGAGAAGTAGCTCCCTCCTTTTCTCATGGCCTGGTTCTTTGTCATTGGCCTGTATTTTTTTTTTTTTTATCATGTTTAGGCAATCTCAGTCCCTGTATGTCAGGAAGAACGATTGATTAGATCACTTATGTCACTTTGGCTAAAGTGGTACAGTCAGCAATAACAATAACATCAAACATAGCCAAGAAAAGGACCAAGTGAGGTAATTATTAATTTGCCAGCTTTAGCCATATGAACTAGATTTGGGATTATATAACACAATCTTAAATGAATGAGAAAATTGTACATAAGCAATGCAGTAAATAATCCCTCATCATAGTGATTTTATCCTCAGGGGAGAAAATTCAAAATTGGTTAGGGGAAAAAATACAAAAATAGAAGAAGGGAAAGAGATTGGAATCAAGGCTTGCAGACAAAGGAATGTCAGACAAACTTTGTGAAACTGGTGAAGAAGACAAGAGGGAAAGAGAAAAGAAAGAAATAAAAACAAGAATAAAACAACAATAGTGAGAATAAACCCAATAAACTATGCTCACAGTCATATAAAAACAAGAGAAACGAATCAGGAAAAAGAAAACAAAACAAAACAAAAAAACAGGAAAAGAGAGAAAAGAATAATTAAAAAAAAAAAGATACAAAAAGAAAAAAATGCCTGGTCTGGTGATGCATGCCTGTAATCACAGCACTTGGGATGCGAAGACCAGAGGGTGACTCTGAATTCAAGGCCAGCTGGGGCTACAAACTGAGTTCAAGGCCAGCCTGAATTGCATAGTGAGACCCTGTCTCAAAAAACAAAAAAGAAAAAAAAATGATGTCTACTTCTAGGTCTATCTCTCATGTCAGTGGTAGACAACATAGGCACACAGAGCCCAGATCCAAACTGATTAATCCCCGCAAAACAGTTGTAGATTTAAGGCAGTGTATTGGATAATCCCAGTGATCCTGTGCAGTTTAATTCTACTGTAGTTCATGCTGGTTTCTTGGCTATGAGGCTGGAACCAGGCCTGTTCAGCCTTCAATAGTCCTGGTATCTCCTGCAGGCTTGTACTTGGCTTCTTGCCAATTCAAACTTGGCTCCCTGAATCCAACACTAGGAGCCACTAAATGGAGCCACCAGTTGCTAAGTTCCAAGCTCCATGGCCCCTCTGCAAGATGGCTCCCAGCCAGTCACCCTCTCCCAAGAGATACATGAGCCCTAAGAACTCATCAGTCACTGCAGTCCACTGTGTCCACTGCTCCACTACACTGGTGTATTTCTTCATGGAGGCCACTTGGGTTACCAATAGTCACCATGCTTCTGCAGGTTTGAACCATCCCTCCCATGGCATGAGTCCAACCTCAGGGAGAAAGCACTACCTGCCATCTACTCCTTCTTTGTTGAAGTCTCTCTCTTTGCTTCCCCTGTTGGCATCAGTTCTCTCTTCATATCCTTCCTGTGTTCCAGGGACCCACTTTCCTCCTTCTTCTCCTCCTCACATTGCTATGTTCCAGTATTTGGACACTAAACCCAGAGAGTCTGTTTCTCTGCTGCTCACAACTCCACTATATTCCTATTCTTTTTGGAAAGTTTTTACTTTTTTATTATGCAAATGATCATTTTCAAATACGTTGTTGGAAGAATGACCTGATCATTAATTTTTCTTGAGTGACAGACACATCTTTTATGTGACATAATTTTTCTCAGAACACCTTGGACCTATCCGTCTTTAACATAATATTACACTAGATTGCTATGTAGCCAGTGGTATTTGTCAGCATTGAGAATAACTCACCCACTTACAGTAACATATCTACATATCTGAAGTGTTAATACATTTAGTTGTTCTCCTTATGTTTGAGTATAATTACGGAGACCTGTTTTAATTCTTTTGCTCTGTGACATCACCATTTCCCCCTCATGTGAATCCTTGTACACTTGATCTCTTTGACTTCACTTTTCAATATCAGTCATTGAATGTGCATTTTTCTTATTTCACCTTGTCTGGCATTTTCCTCTCTTATCTCCTTAGATTTTTTAAATGTACCATTTGTATTAAGTTATCACTTTCAAGATTGAGCACACACACTAGCATGAATATCTGTTCATAATTGTTCACGATTCTTTTTTTTTTTTTTTTTTGGCGAGGGGGTTTCCTGTACCAGGAACCAAACTCACGACCTTGTGCTTGCCAGGCAGGTGCTGTGCCGCTGAGCTAAATCCCCAGCCCCCACGATAATTTCTTGGTGCTACTTCGAATTCTTGTGGGAGGTTCAAGCCTACCTAAACTTTCATTTTCTATCACATTTTTCCAATTTTCTTCTAGTTGAAAATAAAAAACTTGCAGCTTAATTTTATAACTTCCTGCACATATGAAATTATAGCCAAATTGCTTGGAAAGTGTACAATTTAGAGGTGGACTATTATCTTTTTCTTATGTCTGTGGTATAGGGTCTGATGGCTAGATACTGATAACGTTAATTAGTATTGGCTCAGGAAAGGTAGTGGCTTGAGTATACAGATATGCCCTTCAGTATACAGACATGCTTAGTAAAGAGAGTACTGAAACAAAGTTGGTGCTGGCATTCTGTGATGGACAGTAGTTTGATTTTAGCTGTTGCATGGGCTTTTACTAAACCAAATACCATTTTCTTAAATTATACACAATGTTTTAGTTATGAGATTTTTGGAAACAAACCACATTAGATAACATAATTTTTGAAGATGTAAAACAATCAAGGCCATCTCATATTCATTTTGGTTGGTGCTTCTATAAAATATAAACCTTATTTGGCCTCATCTTTTTTTCATTTGTTTATTTTAAAATACAAAAAAAGAAAGGAACCTCTTAAAGGGTTCTCTTGACCAATCATTTAGTGACTTACGCTAACTTGAGGCAATATTAAAGAGATAGCGAGAGGAAGGTGTTCACTTAACTTAAGTGTCCCATCAATGTTGTGAGAGCCGAAATCATACTTAATCTAATCCAAGTTGATGGAACTGAGGCTGGGGACATAGCTATGTAGGTAAAAGCACAACATACCTGGCCACAATGTGGCCTCCACATTGATTCAAAGTTTCAAGCAGGTAGAGAAAACCCAGTCAGTCAGGGTGTATGAGATATTGGGAGGTTAGTGATAGTCATCATCTGGGAGATCTGTTTGTAAGAAGCTGTAAATTAAATCTAAATTAGAGCATTCTCTGCCTTCTCCCTCACAGCTCCCTGTGTAGCCATTGTGCTGGCTGCAGTGTAGAAAATCTCCTGAATTGTAAGGGATCAGAAAATCAAGCAGTTCAGCTGAATGATTAAGAATAATAGTGTTAAAAATTTACCATGTCCTTGTTATGTTAAGTTGCTGTGTTAAGTGCATTAAGCTAATCATCTTATTTATTCTTACCAATGACAATAGAGCAATTTATGATTTTTGTCCTAAATTTATACTTTTACAAATTGAAGTTCAAAAATATTGAGTTATTTGTCCCAGCTTTCACAGGAACTCAGTGATAGATTTAAGATTTGAATGATGAAAACTGACTCTAGAATCCAGGCCTTCAAGTATAAGCGCCAGGGGGTTCGTGCAGATGTTCAGTTATGAAGTAGGCTAAGGTCTTCTCCAGCAGCAACGAGGCCGGCGATCCTGTTTCCTGGAACCGGCCCTCCAGGTGACTTGCCCACGAGATGCTGCTCTCCATAGGTATGCTTATGCTTTCAGCTACACAAGTCTACACCATCTTGACTGTCCAGCTCTCTGCATTCTTAAACTTACTACCTGTAGAAGCAGACATTTTAGCATATAATTTTGAAAATGCATCTCAGACATTTGACGATCTTCCAGCAAAATTTGGTTATAGACCTCCAGCTGAAGGTTTAAAGGGTTTTTTGATTAATTCAAAACCAGAGAATGCTTGTGAACCCATAATGCCTCCACCAGTAAAAGATAACTCATCTGGCACTTTCATTATGTTAATTAGAAGACTTGATTTTAATTTTGATATAAAGGTTTTATAAATGCACAGAGAGTGGGATACAAAGCAGCCATTGTTCACAGTGTTGATTGTGAAGACTTCATTAGCATGGAATCCAAGGACAGTAAGTACAGATCACAAAATTTGTCCAGGACAGACATAGAGATAGAAGAAATGGACTTGGTAAAGATCAACTTAAGAAACTACCTGTACATAAATTCAAGAAAGGAGATGAGTATGATGTATGTGCCATTTGTTTGGATAAATACGAAGATGAAGATAAACTCAGAATCCTTTCCTGTTCCCATGCTTATCACTGCAGATGTGTAGACACCTGGCTAACTAAAACCAAGAAAACCTGTCCGGTCTGCAAGCAAACAGTTGTTCCTTCTCAAGGTGATTCCGACTCTGACACAGACAGTAGTCAAGAAGAAAAAGAAGTGTCAGAACACACCTTTTTGCTTGGACCTTTAGCCTCTGTCAGTGCCCAGTCATTTGGGGCTTTGTCAGAGTCCCACTCGCATCAGAACATGACAGAATCTTCAGACTTTGAGGACAATGACCACGATGATACTGACAGCAGTGAGGCAGAGAGTGAAGTGAATGAACTCAGTATTGTGGCCCAGTTGCAGCCTAATGGTGAGTGGGACTGCGACACAGCAAATACTGTGTGACCCATTAGGTGATGGGTTGATTTCACTTTGAAACATTTATTTAGGTCTGTAATTTGATTTTTTGCTCCTTTTAGAGATTTCTGTAGAAATAACTTATTTTTTAGTGTTCTAGTTTAATCAGATTACCAAAACAGGCTCTAATCTGGTACTTATCTGCAGGACTATATTTCATTTTACTAAGTAGTTACTGGTGCTGCAACTCAGGCATCAAGGATAAAGCATAGCCAAAACATTTTTAAAATCTCAATATAGCTTGCAATTAAGACTTAGATCACAGTATGAAAATGTTTTGTGTTTCACACATGAAATTCGTGCCATGGCCATCTAGCATAAGCTAAAGCCAATGCTCACACCTTGGTAAAGAATGAGTTGGAGTACCTTCCGGTATTTCTCCAAGTTGCTTTCATTAGTGAGAAGCAACAAGGTATTTTACCATTTCTCCCCTCCTATCAGCACCATACAGAAAACTCAAAACTATCTTTTTCATTTCTATTCCCAAGCAGTCTTATCCTGATATGAAAGATCTGTAACTCGTACAGATTTCAAAAGGGTTTTAATACTACAGTGTTATGTATAACTATGGTTCAACAGGCAATGTCTTTGTTTTTTTGTTGTTGTTGTTTGTTTGTTTTTGTTTTTCTTCTGGTACCAGGAATTGAATTCACAACATTGCGTTTGCCAGGCAGGTGCTGTGCTGCTGAGCTAATTCCCCAGCCCCCTGGGCAATGTCTTTGGAGTTTTCAAGATTTCAGTATCCTTCAGTTTTGTGTTGGAATCAAAGCAAAAAGAAAATGCTGCATAAAAATACTAAACTTCAGCAACTGTTACTACTCAGACCATATACCTCTTAATAAAGAGCATCTTATGCTAATTAGCCCTGCTAACCTGTGTACAGAGAAACTGTTCAAGTATTAGGTTTGAAACTAAATGCTTAACAGAACTAATGTATTGAAATGATGTATTATGAAAAAGTAAATTATATTATACACCATTGTAACTATGTAGAAATTAAAGAAATGAATAATCAAACTACTAAGAATTTTTATATGGTCTCATATGAGGGGAGTTTGAATGTTAATAAAACTTTTCCACTTTAAAAATAAAAAAAAATATAAGCACCAAAGCAAAAACTATAACTTCATCTGTACTGGGATGACAGCATACAGGAAAAACTGAAATCCCAGTGCAAAGCAGGGGCCCAGATAACTGTAGGAATTAAATTACTAGTATATCCGGCAGCCAAGTAGAAGTGAAAAAATATTAGGAGTTCCAAACTTGTGACTAGATTCCAGTCTGGATATAGTAGCTGACTTTTTAGCCCTACTGACTACTGGAGCTGAAATTGTCTCAGTAAGGAGCTGGACTATTCATTAGCATAATGGAAGCATGCATAAGTCTCAGCTTTGAGGAACTGAGGGAAGCAACAGTATAGGCCCATCTGTCCTAGCCTGAAGCAAGTCCTTTTCACACTGGAAGGTAGTCTGAAGTTGCATCAAAGTTGGGGGAAGCAGGGTTTGCTGCATTGTTAACCTAGAAATCCTTCTGTATTTGTAATTCAGTTTGCTCTGTCTTCCTTTGGATCTAAAATTCCTCCTTAATTATGATTATATGTCTTGGATCAACATCGTACCTTTCAGTAAATGCTTTAGCATTTGTTCTTTTGGATTCTGGATAGCCAGAAATAGTAAAAATCATACTAAAGGTGAGTGCCACTCGGAAACTACCAGAGAAGCACAAGTCTCCCAGTATTTAAGAAGATAACCCGCTATGGCAGGTTCTTGGCTATCTAGCTGACACCAAATAGTAGTGACTGTTTAAGGAGAATTGTGGTTTTCTCTAATTGTAGATCATGGCGTGTCAAAGGCATTTCAGAAGAGACTTTAAATTATGTATTATGATATTTATTAGTACCAAGATATTTCTCAACCCTCCATGGTTTCTTCTTAAGATTTAACACCCCTTTGTGGGTACTGATTGGACTTTGCAACAATGGCAAATAGGTAGGAGGCATGCATCTGCAGCATTTGCTTTTTCTATGTTTCGAGAAACAGGGTATATAAAAATAAAAAATAAATTAATATTTTACATAAGTCATCATGTGCCCTTTATTTTTTTTTAATTTTTTTATTTTTTTGGTTTTTCTCCGGTACCGGGAACCGAACTCATGACCTTGCACTTGCCAGGCAGGCGCTTTTGCCGCTGAGCTAAATCCCCAGCCCCATCATGTGCCCTTTAGATTGAGTACTGTAACACAAAGACAGGCTGAAATCAGCACAGTTTTAAAACTCATAAAGGTTCTGTGTTGTCACCTATTCAGCAATCAGCTAATGGGAAGACTTCACATAGTAACTTGCTCACTAAGGATATTTTCGCTTCTCACAGAGCACCATGGCCTGCAAGCTGAGAGATACAAACAAGACAGTCTTTGTAGTTAGGGACTTTAAGTACATTTCTTCCTTAGGAAAATTTCCAAGTTCTTATAATTATCTTATTTGATAATATCCTTGAGAGTTGACACTGTTGATAGGTGATATAATCAGTTATCAAAGAAGAATCTTAGCCATATCACACCCCTTTGATAGAGCTTTCCTGGCAGATATGGAAATCATCTGCATTACAGAAGTTATGACTCAGTGGGATAATCTCAGGGGACAGGAGAGGAGTCACACTGATGAATTAATCAAGAAAAACCTCCTCAAAGATCACTCACTTCTTATGGGGACCCATGAAAAACCATTGGAAACAATGACCTAGAATCTCTGCAAACATTAATTGGAAGGACCTGGTTGACTTTTTTTCAAAACATATCAGTGCTTTATTAAAACACCAAAATTCTACGTTACAGTTGTTTCTGAAATAATCTGTTTCTAAAGATAAAACCCTAACCAAATCCCAAAGTCCAGCTCCTAGGATAGAGTGTCAGATACCCTGTTTAAAATGTAGATTTAAGTTGTACTATAATGGTCCTATAGTTCAGATTCAGAATTGACACAGTCCATATTCAAGTCCTAGCACTTGTTCTGCAACTTTAGCTGAGGGGAGTGCTTTTTCCCTACCTTTCTCTGTCCATAATTCCTATTAACCATCAATTGTAGCCATTTCTGTAATGTGTTTGCTCTGCCAACAAAGGTTGAAGACTTCCTTTTCTTCCCTGTTCTTCTGTTTGTTTACCAATCCTAAATCTATCCACTATAGAATTCTGTAGTAAACTTTTGATCTTGGTCAAGTTATGTAAATTTTTATTTAGAAAACCTATAATGACTTACTAACTTGTGGTCCAAGTTTAAATCAAAGTATCAAATTATATATACATATATGTATGTTAATTCACCAATCAGTAAATGGTAACATTTCACTTTTTCAAAATAAAGCCAAAGGCCAAGGATGAGCTCTACAGGATGGAAGAACAGAGAGGAGCCAGGCCCCACACAATCAGCACAGGAGACAACAGGAGAGTGACCAAGCTACAATTCCTGGCCACCTATGCTTCTGAGTTCTCCACAGCACAGTACAAAAGAAGTGATAAATGAAAGACTGACCTGATTGAAGATGAAAAGAACACCCATTCTAGGAATGAAGTGTCACTCTAACACAAAACTGGGTGAGAAATAGCCTAGGAAGACAGGTTTGGGGAAGGCGAGAGGTAAACAGGAATCTCCTGGCATTATGAATGTGTCAGGCTTGGGCCAGGAGTATCACAGGGACCGTATACCATGGTGGGAGGGCGGGTTTGGTGGGTAAGTCATCACAGAGGATGGACCTTGAAGGAGATGACAGTCCAGTGGTATGCTTGTGCTCTCTATTTTTGTTATGGCTAAAAGCAGTTTATAAGTAGTTCTTAAAGTCTATCAGTATCCAGTTGATATTTGATTCCATTCTTGTCACTGAATTAACTGCTATCGACAAAGTGATATAGTTGTTGCTATTAATTGGTTTTCTTTGTATGTCAATATATGAATTACCTGGGGGTAGTAATACAGAGACTTACTGTATTACTATGAAAAACCAGACAATGGGCCAAAGAAGCTACAAACTTCAGGAAAAATAACCACAAAGAAACAACAAACAAAAGCATGTCATGATAAGGCAAGAAAATGCCTTGTAAAATTTCCAACTCCCCAAACCTCATTCAGAAGATATCAAGGGGGAAGAAAACATAAGCTATATAGCAGAAATATATGAACAAATTTCAGTACAGGTCAAACATTAATAAGACGGGTGGCAATTTTAAAGAAGATATACCTAATTAGACAATGACACTAATGTAAAGAATGATCAGTGAGCTAGAAAAAGAGATGCAAAACATGAATGCCCAGCACAAAAAATAATGAGTTCATAAAAAAGCTCCAAAAAGCAATCCAGGACATTAAAAGCATGATTGAAAGTATGAGCACTACAAGTGACCAATGTTAGACACATTGTCAGATCTAGAGGAAAGAACTGTGGTCAATGGTTAATTAATGGGAGATACCTTAAAGACAAGACAACATGAGCATTGGATTGTACTACTGCTAGATGACTCAAGGAAGACTAATATAAGAGAAAGTGTAATTAATGAAAAATCAAAAGAATGTACAAAGGCCATAAAAAGCCTGTTTACATAAGTAATAGCAGAAAAATTTCCATATATGGAAAAGAGAATTTAAGGTACAGATAAGTGAGGCATGTAGAACCCCAAATAGCTATAACTAGAAAAAAAAACCACTGCAGGGCATGTAATAATTAAAATACCATAAATCCTGAACACAGGATCCAAAAATGTGCTAGAGAAAAGTGATGATTGCCTGTGAAGATAAGCCATCACAATTACAACACATTTTACATAAGGAGTGGAAGAGGGATTGAAGCAAGGAAAAGAGAATGGGAAAAAAGGAAGAATTGAGGTAAGTCATGTACAGGTGCAAAGTCCCTATGAAGAAAGTGATCATTATGTATATTTAAAATGTACTCATAAACTATTATTAAAAGAAACCTTAGAGACAAAGACAACTTGGAATGAA